GACTTTCATCCACTACAGCTACAACAATTTTCAGAACCTCGTGAACCTCCTGTCGAGGTTGACCATCAACGAATGTTCTACTGATCCTTGGTAACTTGTGAATTCGTCATCGTATGTTGTAACCAAAGAAACCATGTGTGCATCTATTATGATTTCAGTTGCTATGTGGAAAATTGAACAAGAATTAGTAAGTAATTATCGCTTTCACGTCAAGGGAGGACGATGAAAGCGTTGTTCAATTTACCTTCAGACATTTGGAGAATTAACGTCGATCAAAATCAAAAATGTTTGAGAAGGTTCAAATTTGAATAAACTTGGAGGTGTAAATGTAGAGCGGTGTAGGCTTAGGTGTAGGTGTAGGTTAAGGTAAGTATACCGCACTCTCAAAGTACTGACGTAAGTATGCTAATTAATTAATATTATTATACTTGATACTTGAAAAATTTTTTAAATTTTTTTTTTGACAAATCTTGGGATAACATCTCATTTTTATACACTATTTTTTCCCGCAGTCAATGAAAATCACTGCGGGAATTAAAGCTGCGGCACTAAAAAGGTGGAATATAAAAGGGGCGTGTGCCTTTTTTTTTTTCTCTGAAATCGTCTATTGTTATCACGTGATATATAAAAATGACTAAATTTTGATCACACAATCTTTTTGTTCATTTAATTACATAACCATCGTGCTGTTATGCAACAAAGGTCAGGAGACCATCTGCCTCACCTCCTCGTGCTACTTTGTCAATAACGGTATATCACGATGGAAACAATGGTCTGTGTTATGGCATTACTGTATTATTTATTAAAGAGCATAACCTAATTAACAGATCGGACGATATGGTCATATCATTTATCAGGTGCTTTTTTAATGCTTGTGCTTGCGGATCAAAAGTTGTCAAATTCGTAGTGGCTGAGTCTGCTGAGAAGAATTTCTTGCTGTCTTTAATGTTCTCCTGATGGGAAACAATCGATTTGCTCTTTGTTCAAAAAAGAAAATTGAAAAAACTTTCGATTCTTTGCAAAAAGTAGTAAAGAATTATTAATTATTTTCTTTAAGCAAATAAAAAAAATATTTAAAATTAAGTTTATTTAAAATAA